ACACGAAATCAGGAAGGTCCACGTTAAATCCAAATTATCTGGGGGCCTAGGGAAGTCTGGGGCCTCACCAGTGGCGTACACATGACCTATGGGGCCCCGGTGCGAAAATTGATCTGTGGGCCCCCCCCATGCTTACTCTGCGCGGGTCGGGGCCGCAACACATGGCGGCGGGCACCTGGTCACACTTAAAGGACCACTATAGACACTCAAATCACATCAGCTCAATGAAGTGGTCTGGGTGCCAGGTCACTCTAGTTTTAACCCTGCAGCTGAAAACATAGCAGTTTCAGAGAAACGGCTGTGTTTCAGTGAGGGTTAATCCAGCCTCTACTGGCTGTCTCATTGACAGCCGCTAGAGGAGCTTCCACGATTCTCAGACACTGAACGTCCATAGGAAAGCATTAAGTAATGCGCATTTGGAGCTGAGAGGCGGAGGGATCCCCAGCGCCAAGGGAGTCCGGCGCTGCAGAAAGGTAAAACTGTTCACTAGGAGAAAAGGTTATCTTTCTCTGACATTTGTAGATTAGACACACACACACACACTCTCATGAACAGATGCATACACACTAGCTAACAGACACACACATTTACTGACAGAGACACACTCAGCGACAGACATACATACACACTCACAAAACACACTCTCACTGACAAACACACACTCACTAACAGACATCAAACAGACTCACTAGCAGACACACACAAACACACACAGTAACACACTCACTGACACTCACTAGCAGACACACATTCAATAACAGACACACTCACTGACACTCACTAGCAGACACACACACACACTAACACACACTAACACACACACACTAACACACACACTCTAACACACACTAACACACACACACACACTAACACACACACAAACACACACTAACACACACACACATGTTTTTTTTTTAAATTTAATCCCCCAGCCTCCTTACCTTTTGGAGTGCTGAGGGGATTCCCTGGGGTCCATTGGGGCTGCTGGGTTCCTGGGCGGCCGGTCCTGCCCTGAGTGCTTCCTCTTCAGCTCCCTGTGACACCAGGGCCAGCCTCGGGGGGCCCCCAGGAGAAGAGGCTGGCCACAGTGGCATTCATACCGGGGTCACAGGGCGGCCTGGCCCCCTGGTGGGCCAGGCCCGGTTATAGCCGCGACCCCTGCGACCCCGGTATGTACGCCACTGGGTCTCATATAAAGAAATCCTAAATCTGTTCACTAGGAGAAAAGGTTATCTTTCTCTGCCGTTTGTAGATTAGATCCTGTCACAAAATGTACACATCTTTATTTACTAACGTGTGAACTCTCGGGAATATAAAGTAAATTTCACATTTCAGGCAAAATAGTTGGAGAATTGGTAAATTATCCAAATCGGTGCTCTTTTCAATTTCGCCTAAAATCCACTTTGAAATCCTAATTCCCGTCTTAGCAAAAAGCATTGAATTAATGACAAGCCTTTCAACGTGTAAATGGTGCTGACGTCAGACGCCATAGTTAAGGACTGGCTAATTATAGCGCAATGATGTGTCCAGAGGAGGAGTTACATCTCCAGCACCAGAGGGGTTAAACTCTCTGTGCGCGGGTACAAACGCCATGCACCATAACCACTTTAAATATGTGATGTGGTGATGGTGCGTGGAACACTATAAAATATATTAAGATGCAATTTCTAATAACGATCTAATTATACCTATGTGTGCAGAATTTGTTATTTAATGCTCTTTTTAATAATTTTAAAGGTTTTTGTTGATCATTTTATGGTGATGCAGAGAGGTTTAGTTTCCTCTCCTGCCCTCTAGTGTTCTGACAGAGTATGACATTGAATCTCCATAATAGAAATGATTTGTTCATAACTCGACATTCACAGCAAACATCATTATCTACCATGAGGTTTGTATCAGTTTTATAATATCTGTAAGTGCCCGAGAAATGACAATCAGGGAGAACTTAAAGGCAGGAGTGCAGACATGACTTGTAGACAATATTCTAAGTATCAGAACTGGAATCGCAGCTGACTTTGGCGAATTTTATCCTTAAATTGGAAATTCACTTTAAATTCACTTTATTGATTAACCCTACATGAATGTGTCAATTTGATTTGTATAAATCAAATTAAAATCCAACTTTTATCGTCTTAAATCGCGTTTAAGGTTTAACGATC